CTCATATGCTGTCCTCTGCACTGCATGATGCGAAAGACAACAACCTGGAACAGACAGCTCCAGAGCTCGTGCGACAAGCTGAAGATGCTCTGCAAGAGGTGCGTTCGACTGCGAGGGTCGCTTTTGCCCCCCCCCCAAGTGTCGTCCCAGTCCACACACCCACACACCCACCCGCACCCGCACCCCCGCACCCCCGCACGCGACACACAAGAGAACGCACCAATGGCGCAAGTGCGTCTGGAGCAAAAACTTTAGGTCAAACCGAGAGAAAAAACTGTTTCATCCGGAATTGGGACTTTGCACTTCGTCAGAGGTTGCATATTGTGTTTGTATACATGTTTCATCATGTTTCCTACTGTGCATGGAAAAAAAACATTTGAACAACCAACCGGATGAACTTGACCGCCGCCAACCCAAGTACCCAAGATACTTTTAGCATTGGGGACACGAAAAAATTGTTTCCGCCACTTATACTATGCACATATTAGGAGTAAGAAAGGGGTGCGTATTGGAGCATAGGGGTGCCCATTATCCACTCACTTAGGGACAAGAAACCACCCCGTTGTGACTCCTGGTACATGTATCGATATGAATGTTTATATTCTATATATTTTTTTGTGTGTGGTATTGGACGCCCGTGCCGTATGCAGCAGAGTTGCTTGCATGCAGAGCCTGCCCTCTACCCCAAATAATTACAGTGTCGTACTATGAATGTATCTTGATTTAAGTTATATATTTTAAGTTTAAGCGAACAGTTACAGGAAATCTACAGCTTTGGGATGCTTTGGGATGTTTTAGGAGTGAACATTTACGGTTTCCTTATGTTTCCTTAGATGGTTGTTTCAATTTGGCAGGCATGTTCACTATGGTTCACTCATGCCAGGCGCAGATGGCCAGCCAACGTTCAGCTGCAGAGCGGGAATTGGACACTGCAGTTGCCACTCTGTCAGCTGATTTGAACACGAAGGAGCAGGGTTGGGACGTTTAACAGGATTGTCATTGAAGCATCAATCATCAGTCGGATTCTGAAACAGACTCTTCATTGTACAATGCTAGACATCAAACTCCCAATTTCCCCATAGTCCAACGACAGGACGTCGATACTGGGCGCTTGTCCCAGCACACGCAGCTCCTGCAACGCGCCATTGAAGACGCCACCGCCGCCGGTTTGCAGACCTCCCAGGCGACGGCCCGGGTCGGTTCCGACCGCCCGGAGGTCGACTTGGGGTGGGACACCGACCCGGGAGTTCAGTGGATCACCTGGAGGTCACCTTTGAGAAGGGACAAACAGACTGAGGGAGTCAGTAGAAGGACAAGGGCCCCGAAGCACTGGGCTTGTTCTTTCGTGAGGCCACAAGGGCAGTTCCTCTCTAACAAACATCATCTACTATAGGGTCAGTAGCTTGTGACGTTGTGGTGGTTTGACCTACTGAAAACAGGCGGATGGAGTGTTTTTTGGAGGGTTAGAAAAGGTAACCAGAATTGTTCCAAGCTCATGCAGGAATCGAGATAGAGAAAGTGCTGAAAAGCCCGCAACTTCATGGTGACATCTACTGTACCAAGGGTCGTGTTTCATAGAATGCCATGTTGACGTTCTTCTTCAGGCAGATGAGCTCCTGCGCCAGGCAAGTAGCTGGTTTTTTGTTGTTTGCGCAGCATGGCGCAGCATTCCGGCTGGACACGGTCGGCACCGGACGGGTCACACTGGTTCAGTGAAGGATGGTCACCCAGTGGAACAACATGAGTGTGTATTCGAATAGGGAGACCCCCATCCAATGGGTCTTGAGTCATATTTGTTCCTTCTTCCAGGGAGTCGAACTGGGAGGTCTCCCCAATTGAATACGCACCCAATGCATCAAAATGCACGTGGCTGTGGGGTGTGTCGGCACCAGGAGACCTATTATAGGCACGAGGTTACCCTACCCTACTGTATCCTCATTGGGTGTCGGTCGAACTCGCTACATTCGGACTGTTCGGGTGTGGGGCCACAACCCATCCCCTAGGAATGAGAAACGAGCACTTGCCGCAGGGGAAGAGACATGAAGAGACCGGTTCCAAATCCGGTTCCAAATCTACAATGCTGATCATGCATTTGCTGCATGCAGATTCCATAATTCATCCATTCCATAACTCTGTTGTGCTCTCCTGCGTTATAGTTTGTCTAGGAGTTGTTTGATGTTTGCACCGCAGAGTCGTGCTCGTTCCTGACAACATGTGGCTAGATGTGACGAAAAACGGGCTCTCAGACAGTCCTGCTGCACCGGCCTTTTTTTAAATCCTGTTTGCATTTGACTTAAGCATCTCATAGCAGACCAGTGCATCTGGCGGTTTGAAACTGTTATTGGACACCTTCGGCGCCTTTTCTTAACCCTCAAGCGCCTTGGGTGACCGTATGAACCTGAGGCTCAACGTATCACAGAAGTGTTTGTATAGTTTGTAGCCTCAAGCGCACCAGAGGCAGAGGACGCTCAAAACTCTTTGCGAAGGCTGGGTCGGCGAACCCTGATCGGCCGTGCCTTTTTTTTGTTGGTAGGGACCAAGATGAAGCCACAAACCGCTGGTCCCAAGGCTGTTATTGCGGGAAACAACTCAACCGATATTCCCCTACGTCAGTGCTTTTTCAAGCCAGGTTTCCTCCTACAGCTACGCTCCCGGAGCAGGTGCTGTGGGACTGTTTGTTCCTCAATAAGGAGAAAGGTATATGAATAATTAAGTAACATGAGGAATTAATTAACTGGGAAACTACTGTCTCCCACAACCAAGCTGAAGATAGCTGAAGCCATGTTACTTCAGAAGTGGAATATGAAGGATTTGCGTGAAGATTGAACGCAAAGCATACATGTTGTGAATTGATATAGAGTGTACTAACAGTGACAGTCTCGAACAATTCTGCCCCCAAAACATTGAAACACGCTCGAAAGGACCAAGCCGGAAACCACCCGACCATCGCGAGAGGCACGAGACGCGCCTGCACAGCCTTTTCCTTCACCCTCGAGCGCTTTTGGTGCAGAGGTGCGGCGGTGTTTCTGGGGACGAATTTGTAGTTACGTTTGACCATGCTGTGTTTTTTTTTTTGCGATGTTTTAAGGTAATTTTCTTCAAGATCCATGTGGTTTTCGGTAAAACTGTTGCAATCATAGCTGGTGTCAATGGCACATGTGAAGGCCAAAGAGACCGATGCGCATTGGCAAGCCTTTCCTGCACCTTCTCCCCAGCGGCAAGCTAGCCCGGTTGCGGAGGTGGGAGTAGAGGCATTGAGCCACGTAGTGTAAAACGATTTCTTTGTGTGCGGAATGCACATGCTAGTTGTAGTTACTTCTCCTTTCCATCATTGCAGGTGGGAGTGCCAAGGCACCTTCGCCCTGAAATACCAGCAAGATGGCTGTGTGTAGAATATGTAATTGAGATCTGAGAGCAACATTCGGAGAAGTTTGTTGTTTTCATTATCATCACGATGTGTTTATGAGCACCCTTGTTGATTAAAAGCGTACAGACAAAGTGACTCACACCATCACATCGGTAGTGAGTTTGCAGCTTTCCTGCCGGAGAAACCCTGTGAAACAGAGAGAGATTCAAATCTCCATGATGAGACGGAAGGCCAAAGAGACCGATGCACGTTGGCAAGCCTTTCCTGCACCTTCTCCTGCATCGCGACAAACCAGCCCGGTGACAGAGGTGGGGTCGGAATTTCAGAGCGAAGCATGGTCGGTTCTTTTTTGGACAGATGCGGGTTCACTACCATGCAGATTTGATCATGCCATATTATTGTGTAACACTGCAGTACACACTTCTATTTTCGCTAGTCCGCTTCACTTCACCCCCTCCTTGGTCGCTCGGTGCCGGCTTGCATTTCAAGTTCCCGGTGTTTCGTGGTTTTCGTCGTGGTAGCACCGGTGTGACGTTTCTTCCAGGTAGCACCCGCTGCTTCGATCCAGATGAAAGACAAGGTGCAGACGGCAAGAACTGCTGCAAGAACTGTAGACCGCCCCGGCCACTCGTTCGTCAGACGAACGAGCTTAGTAGAAGAATGAGGGACGTTCGAGCCCAGAGATTCCTGTGGATCCAGCCGCCCTCATTCCCTACCTGAGCACCTTCCGGACCAGTCAGTCATTAGTTGCGAATTCTGCAGACCAAGTTCCAGCCGTTTCTAGAGTGACCGACCGTCCTGCAGGGGACATGTGAGCCATGTGAGCCTTGCTTTGATACAGTAGTTCCCCATGTGAGCCTTGCCTCCCTTCACCACAGCTGGAAATTGGACTTTAAGTCATGCCTTTTGTTCGATGCTTTGGTCCGGTGGGAACCAACCTGGACATGTGGCATGTTCCCACGTCTGGCACGTCCTTCAGAGGTGGGGAAGCTTCTACAGACACTTCTTGTAGGCTGGGACGAACTGTTTGACAACGCCTCACCTGCGAAGACGTTTTACGTTGCTGTGTGAAAAAACGCTACTCTTCAACAACCTAAGCAGTACTTCCTGAGTCATGATAAACAATGATATAACCTAAACACATATAAACATCAGCATGTCCAGATGTCAATTTCTCGCAAAGTAAGAACGTCCTCAGGTGGCAGCACTTCAGAGCAACTGCGTAAGGCCGTGGAGGTGGCGAAAGTGGCAGGCAGTGTGCCCCGAACGGGCTTGAAATGGGCTGGAAGTGTCTTAAATTGTTTTCGGTGGCATTTTATATACCGACCTAAGTTCAATGATGAGATGTCTTCCAGATTAGACTCTTGCATTCACTAGTGGAGCTATCAGAGATACCAGATGATATATAAGCTGGACCATGCTGGACCTTCTGTTAAGGTGTGCAAATGGGATACCTTTGGTGTGCAAATGGATCTCGGTTCTTGATGTCTCCGACGTTTGCAGAAGTGTCGTGGTAGCTTGGTACTTCAAGTAAGCCATTGATTTCGCCCTTCATCACCAGGGCGTTCTCCTGTTCGGAGAGGCCAGGTGGGTGCCGCACCCACTGACCCAGTCGGAGAGGCTGTGAGGTCGGATGGGCTGTGACTTGGCAGGTTTGGATCCTGAGCGATGTGAACATGCGCTGCAGGTGGCAGAGATGCTGGGACTGCAAGCCGACGCAAGCTTGCTTGAGCTTGCTGGGAAGCGAAGGTTTGAGGTGCAGAAGGTGATGTGCAGGTCGGTTCGGAGAATGTGTGGCCAAGGACTAGATAGAAATGACTAGAACTTCGAAACAATGCTGTTCTTCAAGCTTTTGAGCTCTCTCAAGAACGTTATTCCTTGAATCTTACTGTAACAGGGCCGCCTGCGAATGCTGCCTGTGCGCTTTGCCACCGAGGGAGCGGAGCTTGGCGCACCGAGAAGCGGCCGATCTCCCAGACAGCGATGTGCGAAAGTCAATGGAAAAACGATCAACAACAGGCCCATCCAGATCCATAGATTGAACTTTTACAGGTTCAACACCCCGTTTTAGGGTGTGTCACTGGAGAATGAGTGGTGTGTCACTGCAGGATTCGTTGAAGGACTGAGCATGGTTAGGACGCATATGGACTTCTCCTTTAGAAGACTTCACGTGTAACATGGAGACCACCTCTGGGCTATTAATTAAGGGGATTCAACATGATTCAACCACTCCATTTCTGGGTGGATTCGTTCGTTGTGATTGTGTGTGTGTTGCCATGTTATTTTACAACAAAGAAGGGTCTTTTCCCCAAAGACGCACCGTCCACACCTGCCAGCCCCTCCGTCCACGAACGCGGGGGTTCGTTCTTCACCTCCACAGCTCACACCAAGGCGGCGGCCTTGAGCTCGGGCGACGGCGCGGCGATGCGTCACGCGCTCTTTCACCTGGAGAGCGCCGGTGGCCCGGCTGCGGATCGGCGACAGATCCTGCAGGTCTTGGAGATGGCGCGAAGGCCCAGCGAAGGTGAGAAGAAGGACAGGTGGTTGAGTCGAGTATGATTCGTCAAGACGAACACCCTCATGTGAGGCGTGTGTGGGTTCGTCATCAAAAAAAGCCTTCAATGGATGGAGAAAAGGATACAGCTTCATCAACAGACTACGTTGTTGAAGGTTGAGGGTAGTAAACAGTTCTACATGAAGCCGCACTGCCTTCCGAGGCTGGCAAGGGTTCCGTACCTTCATCGTGCCAGCTCCGGAGTGCAGCGGATCGCGAGTCGTTCAAGGCAAAAGAAGAGTCGGGCGCTCAGGACTTTGATTTGTGGGCTGGAAACAGCACGGAAATCATACAGAATGGTGTGCAACACTAAACGGCTGTGAGAACACTAGTGAAGGCTGTATCCACTCCGGAAAGATTGGAAAGCAAACATAGACTGGACGCACGCGCAAGTTCACCATCATTTGCTCAAGCCCTACAACACTTTGGACCAAGGCAACTGTTGCAGCATCTCAAAGAAGTGGGGCCCTTTGCCGTTGCAGTCTAAAGACTTGAACAAATGTGAACGACGCATCCAGACATATCGAGACCTTTGGGGTTTCGGATCACACTTGATTGCTTTGGGCTTGAGGGCCTTGATAGTAAAGGGACTACTTTCAATCGAGGCTCGTGAGCAGGACTTGGAGGACTTCCGTTTGAGCCTCAAAACTTGCATGGCTTCAGAGTCCTTCCATGTGAGGAGAGAACGAAGACGAAGAAACGCCGGAGAGGGAGAATCGAACTCCTACCTGTCCCCAGGTCCCATGGACTGAAGCCATGTCCAGGCACTAGCCTGACTCACCCCGGCTGTCGCACTTCCCCAGGATGTCGCGTGATGGTTCACCCAAAAGGCCAGACCAAAAAGCTGAGGTGCAGCCGTCAGTGCGTGGACGCAGAGCCGAGCGGGTGTCCTAGCAAAGGGGATGGCGGGAGGGCTTTGTCTCGGATTGCGTTGGTTTGCATCCAATCCAAGCCACCAAGAGCCCATGAGAAGACACCATGCTTGGATTGTTGTGCCGCAAGCAGTTTGGGGCCAAGCTTGTGTCCAAATCTGAATGTGAGTACAGCTCTTGCCGTGTCGATCGTTTGATCGGAAGATATTGGAAGTTTTGATGTTTTGCAGCGTTTGAATTCAATCCAGTGCCACATAGCTGACAAATGTTGAAAGCACTCGTCACACACGCAACCTCCTTATGAGCCATGAGATTCTGCGCATGGTGGTTCACACGGTGGGCCGCACCAGGTGTGTTTGCTTTTCCGACGAAAAGATCGAAAAGGAGGAAAGTTAAGGAAAGCTAGCAATTACATACTGTTCAACGTTCGATGTTTTTTGTTGCTTGTACAAGTTGTTTGATCATGTTTGATCAAATACGCAAAGGTTTTCTTTGGCCAATTGTTTCACCTGAATTGACAAAGCCAAGATCCGAGGGAGAGAGGATGGGAGACGTTAGCAGCCTCCGAATATGTGAGCCGCTTGTCCCGCGGAAAGCCGCCGATTCTGGCACGGACCACGTTCCACCCCAGTGGACGCTCAGTGCATCTCAGCCGAGGTTTCCTTGGTTGAGGGGATCGATGTCCGTTTCGTCATCGTGCTTTGCAGGTGAGTTTGACCGTTTGACCTCATTTTACTGGCGTGGGTCATACAAGAACAGCACTCAATGGGGTACAGGACCAGGTTTGGACCTGCGGGTCTTGAGACATGGAGGGAGAGGAGGATTGTATTGGCTAGCGGATGAAAGGATGAAAGCAGGATCTGGAGAGTACGTAACACATGTGGCCAGTCGTCACAGTGACCCGGTGCCTGAGGTGACGCGTTAGCAGAAGCGGTGAAAGCGCTGGCGCCGCCGGTTTTGGCTGGAATCTCAGTGAGAGATGAGTGTACCATGATTTACCATCCAGTATTCATCTCTCAAACGTTCGGCCCGTTTGTATGATTGGAGATTATTGGATTGCTGGTGATTTGGCGCAGGAGTTGGGGGATCTCCAGATTTTGGATCACTGTCGACTTCCACCCAGGTCCTGGACCGGCGTGGACAGCAGCTCACCACCGAGGACTTTGCCACGCTTGTTGCTGATGTGTGCGAAAAGCAACGCGCTGGGACTCCAAGTGGGCTTTAAAAGTATATTATTCATCAGAAGTCCGTAGAGAAGCACAAGTTAAGGGAATTCAAGGGCTCTAGTCAGACCTTTCTTTCGAGAGTATTGACCCCAGGACATATACAGTATGTACCCTGTAGCTCAGCCAATGCCATCGATTTTGTCTTCTTTGATGCTATAGATCACCTCTCAGCTGTGATTGAACGCACTGACAAATTTGAATTGTGTGCCACACTTCATCCAAGTCATCTCAAATCCGCCTTCCACCGGAGCAGTTTTGCCCTGCGCTTCCAGGTCTCGTTCGTGATTGGGGGCACTGATGGCCTGCCAGCACTTCCAGAGCACTTTCCGTGAGGTGCTGAGAGAATCTGAGGGTGGAGGCTCACCAATTTGTTTAATTTACACAAGCATCTTGAGGGTGGGTGTAACTATCCGAGGTGCTCTCCGCAGCTTGTGCTTTACTTGATAATTTTGACTTTCTCGCGGGCAGTCATGTCACTGTTTTTCATGTTTCATGTTGCTGTGAGCCAGAAGATTGTTGGTGCCTTCGTTCCCTTTGTGCGCTGAGGCAAATCTCCTTGGGCCAGATGACTTTCCCGCATCGCGTGGCTCGAGTGCTTTTACTGGAGCAAATCTTCCGTGCCAGAGAAATTTGGGCCAACTCAGGCTACCACAGGCTTTGAGCTGCCTGAAGCTGGGATGAAGCTGCCTGAGAATTCGAGTTCAGGCCACCTGAAGTACGAGAGCAGAGCTTTGAGCGATGTCAAGTGATGGATAATGGGATGAGCTGGCGATTTGCAAGTAGTGGCCACATCAAAAGTTCATGCCAGATGAACCCTGACATGGAGCACCTCTCGCCGTCATGATCACTGGATGTGGAAGAACACAATGGAGCTGCAACTCGGTCGACAACAACAACTGACTCCGCGACCGCCTTTTACGACAGCAAAACGTGGAGCAGCGAGCCGACAAAAGTGGGGCCAACGCAAGGCGGACATGCACATGTTCAACCATACTGTTGGATACTGTTGGTAGGTCAAGGAAGAGTGAATAGTTTGTCTCTCATGTTTCTCGGAGATTGTAGAAGAGTCCGCCAAATTCAGAGAACCAACAAAGAATGTTCGCTGAGGCACGGATTTACGCAGCACCAGATCCAGAACCAGATGCGAGATCAGGTCAGCAGCCGGCTGTAGCTTCATTTCTAATCATTTCTCATTTGCTTTTGTTGGGTGCCGGTGCCAGTGCATGTCTTGACTCGACTCTACCATTCTTTGCTCGCATGTGCTCGCCTTATACATGGGCTCACTGTTTGAAAAAGCAAGAAAACAGAGAACTTTACAGTGGGCCTTCCCTTCGGTTTTTGATATTATAGATATATTTAGGCATAGTTAGTTGTTTTTTTCATTCGTTTACAAATGTTTACGATTTTCAATACAGTTCAATACTTATTGGTTTTGCTTCTTTGGGGGTACCATATGTACATGATTGTATATGTAACTATGTCACATATCTATTCTTATAATATATGTATACTTACTGTATACATGTACATTATATTATTATGTGTCATACACCCAAAATTATGACACAGAAATACTTATATAGAGGATTTGATGACGGAACCCCATTGCAATGAGATGAGATTCAAGGTTGAAGATTCAATATTTCAGCATCGAATTCTTCAATTTCAAATCCAAGATTCAAGAATTATTTCCTGAAATCTTGCGTTTTGAATCATAGTACAGTAGGGAATTATTAGAGCATTTCAAACAACAAACACGTGTTGCAATTGCAATGTCGCTATTTGTGGGGGGGCTGCTCTAAATCATCTCCCTTGGTAGTCCCTGGCCCTCATGACTCACTACTCGTTACAAGTGTCCTTTCTTTCTCGTACAACACTTGCTTTCTCATGCGAAGTATGCGTTTAAGAAAAGACAGCCGGTATAAGAGTTTCATTGAATAAGAGCTTCACTTATCGATCAACAAGTTTCCAGATCCAAGTCCAAGAGGAAACACTTAAAACAACTAACTTTCTTGTGCTATTTATTCTGTTTACCAATCACATTGTTTTTGCACAAAACAGATTGGAATTCCACAGTTTTCCTCTCTTTGTTGTTCTTTCCTTGCTGATATATTCTGTTTGATTTCTCTTTTCCCAGCATCTCTTCCATTCCTCAATGCGCTTGCCTTACTTTTAAGCAGTGTTTGTTGTTAATATGTGTTAATGCTATTTTGTTAGTTCTTTCCATGTGCAAATAGGTTCTTGAGAATCACACAGAGTTACTGTAGACCAAATGTTAAAGGATTGCATGGCCGCTTGCCTGGCAAGCAAATCATCATTCGATTCTGGCAATATTATGCAATTTTTTGCTTTGATCCTTTTCCCCTTTGGGTTAGTCTGGTCTATTGTTAGTTAATTAGCCTTTTGTTTTGGTACTCAGTTTGACCCCTGCTTGTCAATTGATTTGTATTACATGGCTTATGTCTACTTGAACGGCAAATTCACCAATGAATATTCTAGTTGAAATGGGCAAATAAACCAGAATCCTACTTCTCCTTGGAGATTCGCTCTCAGGAGAGGAGAATTGGCTATAGGTAGAAATGGACAACCAAATGTAAAAAAAACTTGAGAACACTATATGTAAAGCAATAGTAACACAAAGCACCTAACTAGTTAATCAGCTTGAGATTGGCTATCGTTGTCAGAATTGTCTCAACCTCCCTGATTCACCATTCAAAAGTTGTCCACAAATCTTGAATCCTCCAAAAGTAGTTTGAAAAGGTGGTTGTTGTTGGTCATAAAACGTCTCAGTACAGTACAGGATTCAAGAGCTCCTACTCTTATGCCACTGCAGAATTGAAATATCCTAGAAAAAAACCTACTTCTCAACAAGGCACCTCGAAAAGTTATGAACTGTTGAAACATGTTCTACAAGAACGAAATAAGATTGCACAGAACTTTCTATTTACAGAATCGTTTTGCTGGTCTCTGCACATTTTAAGTTTTGCTGGAATAAAGAAGCACAAGGCGCCTGCAGATGGTTGCAGAGTGGGAACTCAGACTGATTATGTTTAGATGAACGTTTTAGGGATATTTAGTTCGAATTGGTTCCTCCCTGGAACCAAGAACCAAGATTGCTGGAAAGAATTATGCATGCATGCAGCATGCAAGAATGGTAGATCTTTGAGGGGATAGCTATATTATGGTAATTGTTCTATATAACAATATACTGGTGTGTGGGGGCTCAGACACCTTCACACTTTCTACTGCCACTCTTCTCCTGTCAGGCATGGCTACCGAGCCAACCACCAAAGTGGACGAACCGTGCCGGGCTCATTGAGTTGAGGGTTGGGAGAAGCTGATAAAAGCTATGTGTGTATCTGGAGATGTTTTATCAACGTTCCTTTTCTAGATTCTAGATGCTGCCATTTACAGCCTATAGATGCCTATAGCATATCATAGCATCTATAACCTATAGAGCTGAATTTCCTTGATCTACCTGCCTAAGTGGCTCTTGCAGATATTTGCACATAGTCCTTTCTCGCACCACATCCTCCGGAGTTTGTCGCGCCACATCGCACCCATCCTGTTCTTCGCAAAACATCTCACTTGGCAGTAGCGTTCGGACGCTATTATATAGGTGGAGGCCGCAAGTAGGTTGGAGGCCATCGCTACTAGTAGCAAGAAGCTACTCGGGTGGAGGAGTTGGTGCTCACTTGGCGCCGCTTGGCTTGACCCCGACCCCACGAACTACAGCTCGACGGGGGCGCCAATCCAGCGGCGTCTCGAAGCGTCCCAATTGGATGGTCGCTTCGCGAGGCCAGCCTTCCAACATGGATGGACCAATCCATTTGGCTTGGATCCCACCAGGGAGGCACCAGGGAGCCAGCGGCTGCGATCAAACCACCGAACTGATGCAGGAACTCTTAGTGGAGATGCTCCAAATGTTGTTGTGACTCATGCAAGCAAGAATCTTGAGACTCGCTCGGACTCACTCACTCCATGTTCTTTTTTTGAGATGAATATCCTGGCTACATCTGGCTACACTATTCTTACTAGACCCATGATTATTGAGAATGCATCCGAACCATTCCGAAACAATGTTCATGCTTTCAGCAGATTCTCGCAGGTCTTCAACCCCTTTCCACCGCCAGTCGCCGCTCAGCTGCATGGCACGAGTGTTGCCCTTCAACCCCGACCCTGACAGTTATGGGTTGTTATGGGAGAGTTTTTTCAACCAGCCCTGTGTTTTCATCATTTCGATGGAAGAAGCCATGATGGCAGAAGCTGGACTCGGAAGCTCGTTCGTTTCGCCAGCTCGTGAAACTTGGGTCCAACTCGGGGGTCGTGACCCAACTTTGGGGTCAAACGATGACTTCAGACCAGGAGTATGGTACTTTGCTGACCAACGCACATCATCGCGCTAAGTCGGACACTCAGCCGCCGCTTCGATGGTGCCCATGGCACTAATTAGCCGTTCACTCACGGTATCACGCTCCTTCCCCTTACACCGCACGGCTTGATGTTGGAGGCAACTCCCGACCACAAATTGGTGTCCAACCCGATGGGCTCCACTGCAACGGTTCACCGGTGACCTGTTCGATCCACTGCAGAAAACCGGACGAAAACACCTGTTTTGGTTCACCGACACGTCGGGTGGGTGATGCATCATCTGGCCAAGAATCATAAAGAATCGAGACGTTTGCACCAAAAAAGCGCAGGCCTTTTGTGGTAATGGCGTGTTTTTGATCCTTTTGTTAGCGTTAACGTTGCATAACGTCCCACGGCAGGCTGCAGGGGCAAGCATTTGAACATCCCGATTTCTGGCGAAGTTCAAAAGGGCAAACCGGGCGAATGGCACCCACTGCCATGCACTTTTAAGATCTTTTTAAAGACGTGCGAACCTAGCAGCAACACCCTCCACCTCCCAAAGCATGCTAAAGCTAATCCCAGTGGTACAAGTAGAAGGAGTTGGGGCTATATAATGAGGCAAGTCAAACAAGGTCAACCATCACAGAAAGATCATCCAATTCCGCAATAAACTGTAATGTCATATGATGTATCATGATGTCATATGATATCATGAAACCATACCTAGATTTGCACGTTCACTGGTCGTTGTCTTGCCACATGTTTTTCTCATCTGCGGAGAACAGCTCCGCCGTTCGAGCGCAAAGAATCCCCCCGGACGCGCCGTTGGCCGTTCTGCGGACGCTCTGAGCCGATCATGGGTCGCCAAAAAGGGCCGTGGTGATCCGGTCTAAGAAAGGAGGAAACAGGACGATTTCGCCACAGTTTTCACTGATGTGTGGTGGTGTGGTGGTTTGATGTGGTTTTTGAGGATGCTACCTGCTACACGATTCTTTGGATGTGGAGAAATCCCAGTTCGTGTTTGGGGAAGAGAGGTGAAAAGCTTTTCCCGGTTCCGGAGGCGAATCCAATGTACCAAGATTCCGGGAAGTCCTGATGTTGTTTGATCCAGAAGCATGTGGATAAGTGGATGTGGAATTTGCCGTTGTTGTTGATGTGGAGTGCATTATCCTCATGACTCATGATGGAGACGGTGATGCTGATGATGCTCTTGTTCAATAGGATCATCGTGCTATTGAAGTTTAGAGAATGATGATAGTGATGGTGATCATCATTGACTCTTGCATTTGGCTCCTGTGAAGTCGGTTGACGGCGAAGAATATGCAGTCCGTTTTGCTGGTGCGTGTTCTCAAGATTCTTTAGTTTGGCAAACCTGACCAAGCCCTTTCGAACTGCCCATGAAGCCCCTGTGCGTCCAAAGATTCATCCACCCCAGCGAAACGGTGAGGACAACGCCTTCCGTCCGACGAGCCATGATTTGCTTAGAGCCCACTTCCTGGAGCTCCTTTTTACCATTTGATCAAGATGAAGTCGTGGAGATTATTGAGGACTGCGCCGTCCTCAAGTGAAAGTCATGAAGTCTAGTCTACTGTAATTACTTGAATTAAAAGCCGGAGGCAAGAGTGTTGGCGAGCTGGTGCCCTCATACGAGTTTCTCAGAAGGCACCTCGCTCACTCTAGAAATAATTGTGTTTGCGGATTGAAAGAGTGAGACCACCCAGGACTTTTTGGCTCCAGGACACGTAGGTTGGAGGCCAAAACTCGCTCAAGCCTCTCCACATTCTAATGTACACATACCAGCAGTCACAAAAGGGTGCTTAATGGAGGTTTGGGGTGCCCATTATCCATTCACTTGCAGTAGGGACTAAAAACCACCCCTTTGTGACTCCTGGTAGTACTCCTGGTAGGATACACTCCTGGTACAAACACCCAATTGCATGACTGCTCTGAGTGATCCAGGAGGAGGTGAAACGTGATCCAGAGTTTCATGTCTCTCGACAAGTCACCCGCCAGCGGAACCTTGGATTGGAGATTCCTCAGGTGCCTTCAAGATGGGTCTTGTATGTATGTACTACATTGACCCCGCAAGATCCCTGATGTTGACAAATATGGCAGTCCTGTGGAGTGTTTGGGATATTGATATGCAGAAAAAAGACACACCGCCAAGAGGTCTTCAAGATCTTTGTACTCCTACATGAGAGTACCATGAGAGTAATCTTTCCCGACAGAGCACTTGAGGATCTCGAGGTATTTTGGCAGTTCCACGCTGGTCTTTTGGGAGGGTATTTCGCAAGCTGGTATAGTATACACCGAAGCTTTTGACTCTGAGTCACTTCAGGAAGTCTTCTGAAGCAGGAAACTTCCCCTTCTGGAATTTTGACAACGTCAAAAGATGTGCTGTAGTGCTTGAGTGAGTGCTGGAGTCTTGAAGTGTCAACAAGCGGAAAGTGCTTGTTGCCGTGCCAGGTGCAAGCCTTATTGGCCTCTGCGCGCTGTGTCAGTCTCGGGACTTCTTGTTCCGTTGCTGCTGCCTTGCAGGCAGAACCGGCAGAGCGTTAGAAGGTTTGGCGGTCAGATGATAGTCGTCTATGGTTATGTTGTCTTTGTTAGATGTTGGTGGCAAGTGTCGCTGTAGGTGACAATATTGGGGACCAAATGGGCTGGTTCGGAACCCATTACTGTATGCATCAGCAACACAAAAAAAAGAGGCGTGACTTAGTTATGACACTTCACAACATTATTTGCATAATATCAATAGCCGCGCTCCGGGTCAGGGACCCATTCTGTAGCCTTGTTTATATGTCTTTTTTCCTGCATCAGCGCACGGATGTGCCGGATGTGCACAGGCTTCCGCAATATCCTGCTTGGGTATGTTTTTTTTTCCACTCGTCATCGCTCGTCGGAAAACACGACACAGTAGCATTCCGGGCAGTTGGTATTGGGTTTGAAAGCTTAGGAATTATCAAGTTTTAGTTCATTCCTCTTCTTGTGCGGTGCAGCCACTGTGTTCCACGTTAAGCTTCAATTATGTTCTGAGTTCTGAATATAATTTGAATGTGAGGGTGACTTGAACCGAACAAGGATGCAGGCACTGCAGGCACTGCAGTAGCATGCAAGCAAAGCAATGCGTGGCTCGTGCTGAGGACATAAACCGAGCATGACCTTCCATGAGCACCAGGGTGAAGGTAGATGAGCACCAGGGTGACAGGTTCCATCGGATCTGGTGGGAGCTGAACGTTCGTCTCCCCTTAACGCTCGGTTCGGCCGCCGGGTTCACGGCCGTCGGTTCCGCAGGCTCTCGACCTTAGAGGGGAAGCAGGGCCATTTGATTGGCTGAGGACGTCATGCAGACCGGTCACGACTGGTCTTTTGTTTTCGCCCCTTTTTCGGCTTTTGAGTCAGTTTTCACATAAACTGGATTGGGTTCAATTCAATGATTTCCTCTTTCAACCCCAAGCAGACTGGTGAATGAACATCCGCTGTTTAGCTTTTAGTCCTTTGCGTGTTTCGATTGAAGCTGCGCTGACGCAACCGTATATAGGTTGTGTTCATGGTGGGTGGTAATAGGCTTTTATGTTGAACGGCAGGAACAAAATCGAAGAATACCTTGACTCGACGCATGGGAGAATTGTTTTGTACTCAGTCGCGTGGCGAGATTCGTTCAAGGTTATACTTGGTTGTCCACAGATAGACACGATGTGGGATTCCAACACATGCTGATTTCTTTTTTGAAGTCAGGGAGAAGATTTGGGCTTCTATCTACTTGGGGGTCACTCCTTTGGAAGGTGGCTCGTCCACCACGCTGGTTGCTGCAACCAGCCAGTCTTTTTTTGTTGCTGGACACACGCAATGTTGAGAGGATCTCCGCCAGAAGTGTGGGATACTTGTTGAGGACTGCCACTGCTTTTGTGGGTGGTTTGGTCATTGAGATATTTGAGATCCATGGATGGGAGATGATGGAAGCCATTCATGCTCTTCTCTCGACATACGCTGACTCAACACTCACATTGGTTAGTGACGAGCCATGCACCGAGTCCGCATAATCGCGCGGGTCACGGGTCCGAGTGGTCAAAAAAACACGATATCATTAGATAAGACTTACTGAAAAGAACTTGGACCAAAACCAACAAGGTTGGATGAGTAAACTGTTTGGTAAATCCAAACCTTGCTCGGACCTGAGATCCGAGACGCAGGACGGGCTTCCGAGACTTCTTTGACATCGAGTACACTCAGAGCAGACCTGGTGAGCGAATTGCTTCGGCCAAGCATTGGCAAGGACACAGAGCATCACAGAGCCCTTTGAGTCATGCGTTTCACGGCAGCTCAAAACCTGAAGCTTCAACACTGTTATTTGCCATGTCAGGTAATTAGTCCATTCTGTTCATCTTGATGGGTCAACCAAGGTCTCCCCGTTTCCCACCGCCCAAATTCGACTATAAATCTGGTCAACGGGCGAACGGGTCCGGCTCCGTGGTCGCTGGGGAAGTGCCGGGAGTCTTAGATTCCTCCCTGTGCCGTGGCTCCCGACACCATCAGCTACCCTGGACGACCAGACCCTGGAAATTTGTCGGGTCTCACCCGAAAACCTGGTTCTTTGCACTTTGAGAGTATAAGCCCAGGGTTCCCATTCAAAAACCAGGGTTTTGCCAGAAGACCACCAGGTCAAAGCCAGCCGGAACGCTGCCCAGGCGCAAGCAATCGCACGAGATATCTTGGCTTTACGGACATGCCACTTGGGGAGTTTGGTGGCTTCCTAATGATCAATGATCACTTTAACAAACAATGTTTAAGGTGTATGGACACTTCCTGTTGGGAAGGCCGCAGCTTCCAGGTCGGGTGGTCTTCTGAAACCAGCCGCCCGATCTGAAAGCAAAGGCGGAGAGAGACTGTCATCGTCTCATGGCTGATCAGCTGGCTGATCAATATGAACTCTCGACGGATCTAGAGACCAGGTGTGGTTTCTCAGTGCCGGCTTCGCTGTTGCAAAGCTGGGCCCAATGCTTGATGAACGGAAATCATTTGTTGTCGGTCTGAAGAAGTCTCATTGGAAAAGAGAGGAGGACATCTTGACTGCGTTTTGGCGCAACTTTAAACGACATCATGAATCGAACGACATCATGAATCGTATCCAATCTTCGAACAGGCACGGCTGAGAAATCTACAGCTTAAAAAAACCTGTCCTATGATTTTTCACGGAGACGAGGGAAGGGGTGCACACCTTATCTGGTGTGCAGCTTTCACTCGGCCCTCGGGAGCAGTGTTCGAACAAACAGCAAAAAGACTTCACATCCATGGCTGAAGATGTGTTGCAACTACCATGGGCATACTTTCACATCACTGTTCTTGATGACCGCCCTACCCAAAGTGCTTTACACTTGGAAAGAATGAAGAAGTCTTCAACGACATCTTGGTTTGTGCAGTGCAGAGTGTCCAGCAATGTCCAGCCGGACGGGGGCGGTTTCATGTGTCTGATCCACATTAAGTGGAGACTGGCCGCGGTTGGTGGGCTCTGGCAAGATGAAAGGTGGTACAGGAACGTGATGAAGAAAGAAAAGAATCAAACAAAACATATAGGCATATGCCACTTGCGCGCCGCAAGCAAACGGGGCTGGGATTTTGAAGAGATCAACAGCTTGCAGCCAAAGTGGCTGGATACATCTTTGACTTTGGGGATTTGGGCTGATGACACTGATCCATCACCACTTGGGGCGATACTACATACTCCAGGCTGGCCCAATTATGGACGCTTGACACATTCCATACAATGCAATTGGGAGCTTGAGAGGCTTTTGTTGCAAGTTTTCTAGCCAAACTTTCGGACCTACAACCTGAAACGACAGTTGATGGCCGATTTGTTTGCATCTCCAAGCTCTACTTGATATGGCGCGCTTCAGTGAAGGAGAGGCCATTGGCCATGGGTACACAAACTGGCAAAAGAGCGAATGGGTTGGCCAAGTACAACCACGTACCCAAATGGTACGTGGCCCAAGGGGGGCCATACGAGGTGGACGCAATATCATTTTGAGACTGAAGGCAGCGTTTGGCCGCCAAATGTTCACGAGGCTGGCTTGGCCTGTGTTGCTTGCAAGCAACTCTTTTCTGAGATCTCTCTATGATGGCGATGCTTGGCTGTCACAGCGCAACGCCAAAAAGATTGGTGAACTCGGCTTTGAGTTTCTTGTGCAGTACGCAGGGCTGGCTCGCATGGCGGACGGCTTTTCTATGTGCTCCAACCAAAGCACCATAGCTTACACCACTTCGGTGGTATACCTGATTTGTGGATCTGCACGGGGCCCAGTTCTGAACCCGCTCGTGTTCAGCGCGCAAGCTGATGAGGACTTTATCGGGCGACCCAGCTGCTTGGCACAGCGGGTCACCCCGAAGCTTCTGAACAGTACGCGCACGGTTGTTGAACGATACCTTCAAAGTGCCAATGTCCATTGGGTGAAGGAGAGTTTCTTAGTGCCATCAGCATCTTCTGGAACAAAGTGACGGGACCATTTCATATGATCGAGATCAACGGTTGAAAAGGACATCCATTTGACAACGCCAGCTGCAGGCCAAGGAACATGTGCACCAGCATGCGAGATCTCGATAGGGTTGAGCAGAAAAATGATGCATCTGTGCTGCGGCGGATTGGGTGGGGAATTTTTTAAACATGTTGAAGCCCTGAGCCCTGGGTTCCGAAGCAAACCCTGCGAATTCAAGCAGAGGGCTCGGCCCTTCTATGGAAGGATGATCAATCCTCCGTTGTGTATGTGTATGTGTGCAAGAATCTGAGTGGATGCACAGGGCAGAGTCGAGAGTTTATTGTGTGGTCCGAGTGGACGCAAAAAAGTGATCCGAGTGGATGGTGTTTGATCTGGCTGAGGGTCATGGTACCAGGACACCGACCGATTGACCTACCTGTTACCTGGTGTCGGTCGTTCGATGTCGTTCGCTACGTGGTGTTGGGGCTCCAGGTTTTGACCCATCCCCATCTCGTGTTTCCCGGAGGAAGTTTTTGGCACCACGATGTGACAGACATCAATGTGCGCTTGGCCTTTGATCGCCGAATTGAGCGCTTTCTGCGAATTCCAGCAGGTGCAGAGACTCCTTAGACGACACTGACATGACAGGACTGAAACATTGAGTGTTTTGATACTGAGTGAAGATGTATTGTTGTGAAGCGGTGCCATTTCCACTGCATTTCTCATCATTTATCTAGTTTGGCTGCCTGTCAAAAATAGCAGTGATCAATTTAGTAACTATGTGGGTGTTCGCAAGAAACTTGGAAGAACGCAACACATGTGTCTTTTTTGACCCTGTTGTGCGCTCTATGTCCTGCCAGTACACATAACGCGCACAAATTATCGCGTGATCTCATCATATCACGTCCGCTTGGTCGTCCGCCAGGGCGCGACATGATATTTTTGCGGGCCATGAACCATTTGGAGGACCATCCATGGCAGCACCCTTCGTGGAGTTTCGGTGCCGTTCCACCGTTCGGCGGCAGGATGGGACTCCAGTTGGGGGCACTGTCTGGGAGTCCCAACAATCGCTTGCATTCATCATGTGACCCTAAGTGAATCTGCACAAGACCAGCTGTTACACTATTGTTCTTTTAAGGTTTTTGTTGGGGGAGTCTCCGGATTTGGCTGGGCTGAAAGTAGTTCCCAACTAGCTGTGATGTTTTGATCCCCAAACCGTTTGAGGTTCAAGTCGTCGCCATGGCGCCAGGTTCCTCACCAGGTTCGACAGACAAGGGAAAAGGTATGAAAGGCATCATTCCAGGCCCATCCGTGTGGGATTTAGACCATCACATGTCACAGGCACAGGTATCGACCTGAGGGCACCAGGTCGAAGGTATCGCTTCTCCAAGTCGCGACATTGCTCAAAGGGAGCTGGATGTTGCCAGGAACTGGACGAGATTATGGACTTGTTCCTCATCTTGAAACTACACTTTCAGAAAGCTCGCCGAGTCCGCTTGGCAGTGCTGATTGACCTTCAGGCAACCGGGAGCAACCGGGAGCAACGAGTCGACTGGGAGAGCCTTTGACCAAGCACTGAGTTACCCTTTAATCCGGATCAGGTGCAGGAAATATGGCAGCTGCTTCCCTCTCCAAATCGACATGGACCGAAAAAGGACTCAACAAAAGACCGCGCGCGACTGGGCTCAGGCCAACCTTCCCCCCACACGGATTTCTGTGTTCTTTCCTTTTCCTCGGGCGCCGCAGGAGGCTGAGGGAGCCTTTTCGACCCGCGAGCTGGGACCGGACGTGATTTTCCTGCCCGTCAGCAAAGCTGCGTGGCTAGCTCCAACTGATTCCCAGGGTGGGCGTGATTTTGTGCGTGAAATGATGGCCAGAACCAGTTGGGCCTATTGTCAGTGCTTTGCACGGGCCCTGCATGTTTGGTCAGGCCTTATAGAAGTGAACTGGGAAGCGTCTGTGAAACAGCTTCGTGCCCAGTTGCAACCTTTTCACGGTGGAAATCCGCGCACGGGGTCTTATGAGCCAAAGCTTGTGCAAGGCTCCATTGCCAGTCTTCTGTGGACGGCGTTTTCGTGCGGATGAAAAGTAGAGGCTTTGGACGTTTACGTGTGGTTGTGGTGGTAATGGTGTTGTTGTTGTTGTTGTCGTTGTTCTGGTTCTTGTATTGTTTTCAAATAGGTTCCTTCATGTCATGCCAAGATGGACCCAGCAGCAGCTGGATGGGATGGTTAACGAAGTTGGGACCCAGTGCTCGTCTGTCTCCGTAAGGCGCTTCCAGGCGTCTTTCGTTAGGGCTGAGACCCTCCTCGGTATCCGTACCTTTGTTTGAATTCTGAAGATTGATATTCGAAGTAGGAGGAAGTGATCGGCTCTTTTGCGTAGTTATTGAGCTTTTCACTGCTTTTGGAGTAGCCATGAGGCCATGAGCCATCCATACTGCCATGCATGAAGCTTTTGAGTAGCTTCGCAATAGCCTGGCTTTGACGCCGTCAGCAGGACTGCTATCCATATTCCTGGTGGCGTTTGGAGGCAGAAAGAGAGAGAGAGAGAGAACTTGACAAGTCAGTGCACACTTGCCTTCCACTCATGTTCTTTCTTCGTCCTTGGTTATTTTGTACGTTGTGGAAATGTAGATGAGAGACTTGCAGATACATGAGACAGACATGATATATACTTCACTAATAGTATTGTGACTTCTAAGAGAAGCCCTTCCGCGGTTGTTCCGAAGCAGAAGAATCCACTGTACATCGGCCAGATCCGGTCGGTCGGCCGAACCAAGAACCTCACCGGAATGGGTCCACCGGGGAGTGGATCCACTGATTACCATCTGGTGGGGGTTGGTGAGTGGATCGAGGCCTTACCCGAATGGGCTGGCGGCGAGCTGGCCTTTTTGGGAGCTTTGCCCTGGCAGTGCCCTGGCCCCTGGTGGCCCCTGGCGGGCCCTGGCGGGCCCTTCAGACCAGAGTGAGCAGATCAGACCTCCTGTGCCACTTGCTCAGGTGAAGCGCTCGCTTCCTCCTAACTGGTGTTTTCACTGTTTCGGGGGTTGGATGCTGTTTTTCCCTGAAGGTACACGGAGTATCCCTCCCTCTATGGAGGCCCTTGCAATGTGAACCGAGGCGGCGGTTTTGGGGCGGCTCGGGCGTTCGTTGGGCCGTATCGATGGACCGGCGGTCGACAGGGGACCCGTCGTGGGGCAGGCGAGCCGAGGTGTTTTGTGGTCATCATCATGAAAGGTTCAGGTACAGCTTGGCTCTGCTATAGGTTCAGGGATTTTCATGATTGATAGCATCCGAAATCCATATTCTCAAAGATGACTTGCTCCGAATTGCACCCACAGAGTCGTTGAGTCGGAGTCCCTTTGAGACACCCATCCTGGGGGGTGACAGAGTCCGAGTCGTCGTTGGATGACAAGCTCAAGCTCGGCTCCGTCGGACATGGTTGACACGTCGGACGCGTCCGTGGACGCAACATGTCCACCAGATCGACTCAAATCGACCTGTCAATACCCTCCCTGATTGAGACAATCATGGAAGCTGAGCAGACACATGGAAGCTGTAGACGAATTTCGCTGGTCATCCGCTAAGTTCCCCTTCCATGATGGTTTCAGGGAGTGGTACTCTTGATCTCCAAACGCTCAGATGCTTCGGTAAAGCCCACCGATGCTGTCATCTTCTTGTATGCCCATGCAGACAGCAAGCATTTCAGGCACTCCGGCAAGTCGATGCTTCTTTCTTGCCTTGTCCATGTTGTGGCCATATTTGTCAGATATTGCGGGGTTTGGAAGATCGTTGTTTTGTTTTTTTCCCCGGAGTGAACCATATGTGAACATCTAATGCCTTTTGAAACATCTTAAGTTCTCTAAGAGTGAACATCTCCAAACTTCACTTCTCCAACTTCTGAAGAAGGTGAACATCAGTATGTTCATCTCCAAGCTTCTCGATGATCATGTTCACCTTTCACCTTCCTATGAACATTCGATCCTCCAGGCGAGCCCTGGATGCCGCCGCATCCGCCTGGAAGTGTGACCCTCAGTGTGTGAAACTACCGAGGCCGGCTGCTGGCGGGGCCGCGGGGGCGGGCGTGCAAACCGAGCGGCGCCAGGCCACGGTGGAGCAGGTCTGGTGGGGTCCAACTGTTCGGTAGGTCGGGGCTGCTGGTGGTCCGACTTTGAATGCATCTGAACCCATGTGAGGGCATGGGGCTTTGCACCCCAGCGGGTGCCTGGAATTCGGGTTCCCATGAGCAAGCAGTCGTCAGCGCCTTCCTCTTGAAGAATGATGCAAACAAATGATAGAAATGGAGACTGTCAGCGGTGGCCAACGGGTCATGTGACGGGCCACCGAGGTATTGCTGCAGTCCTTGCTTTCCACAGCAAGATCCTTTCGACTTCAGGCAAGCCGAGCCGAGGGATGCACAGGGGCCAGATGCCTCTTGAACTTACAATGTTGGAAGAATTATAAGCCAAATAGGCCGAATACAACTCCATCATGAATTGCTTCGCAGAACTGCAGGATTGAGATGAGACCCGAGGCTGTAGAATCTACATCTAAGAGGATGGACTTGACCAAAAGCACCATTAATTACACCAACCAACTTAGAATTCGTCGTTTGAATTGGTTGGTTGAATTCCCAGTTCCGGCGACCGACTGTGCGTCACAGCGACCTCGCTTGACTCCACAGCGTCTCGTCGGAGAGACCGGAACGACGAGGTGCGAGATGTGCCACGTGAGCACCCGCACCGCTGCAGATTTTGCGGCACATGAGGCGTGTGGTTTGAAGGGGATGCAACCATACTTGCAACCTATATAGTCCCATGTATAGTGGTCCCCCAATAGATAGAAACAGTGTCCCATGCATTTGGAAAGTGAGGTTACTGTTCTATTTACAGTAATCTTTGGGGGCCTATATAGTATGCAGCATGGTCCCAGCATAGTTGAATATCAGCAACATTGCACATGTTGGGTGATATATATATAGAGAGAGAGAGAGAACTGAAAGGACAACTTTTGCTGAAAGTCTGAGATATTCTGAGATTGTTATTTGGAGGGATTTGACACTACTTCAAAGTATTTCAATTCAATCTATCAAGACTTCTCCATGCAGAACTCTCATGTGATGTTGATAGAAAGCCCTTTCGGATGGGGTTGCCAAGAGCGCAACAGGACGGCTTTGGGACTGGCAAAGTTCAATCGAATCATTTGTGCGCTCGAACAGCAGAAAAAAATCCTGGAGAGTCTTATCCCTAGGGATCCATATACTTATATATATATATATAATTACCTTCTCAGCAGGTACTTGCTTGGACCCTCCAAGCCTATATAAAAGACTGTATATATAGACTATAGAAGCGTCTCCAATCACTCTCTCAGAGGCCATAGGGTGTGATGTGTCCCATGTTTCCGAGGCAGGAAAGATGCATCGGAAGCGAGTAGCTTTGGAGCAATGCTGGCAGGCTCTGTGAGAGTTTGCACCTGGATTTATCTATATAATCAAAGTGGCCTGTGTTGGAATAGGAAGGCCGGGAGGCCCGGGCCTCCAACCACTGGGTTTTAGGTGATTCGTCCTCAAAGGTCTTTGAGGCCTCCTTATTTTCAATACTCTTTGGGTAGGCGGTAGACTCTTTCCGTCACGAACAGAGCCCTGTTTGCTTTGTCGTCTGGGTTTCCCGTTGAGCTGTGCAGCTCTCGGCATCCGATCTGCCTGCACCCGTTGAAAAGGCAGCTTTGGAAGCTTCGAAGCATCAGCCCTTGATGGAAGTCACCTGCAATTTGCGAAACCGCCAGCTGCCACAGCAGGCCTGGGATGCAGGGCTGGGATAGCCTGAGATTTCTTCACCTTTCCAGGCATTTGGCATACTGATCGTGTTGGAGTCCAGGGCAATAAGTGGACCATCTGCGGAATAGTACCAGTGCTTTCAGCTTTCCACGACGGAAGCAGCCAACCAGAGTGAGTTTACCCGTTCGATGTGGCATCTACTTGGTGTTGCTTCGACGAAAATCTGCCTCAGACTCCAACCGAGACCGAGATCAAACGCGACCGTTCTTTATTGAGCCTTCCGACCGAGGCGCAGCACTCCGGTGCCAAGGCATCCAAGTTCGCCGCAGCGCCGAGGCACAGTGCTCAGGACGGATGAGTGGCTAGGATCTTTGATCGCCAATCCAAGGGTTGGACCGGGGTTGGGGCAATCGGGAATGGGGAGTCTTTGAATGGATTGCTCTTCGAGATGACTTGCCAAAGCCACCAGAGATGTCGGCTGAGCTCGGCTGTGGGTCATGGATCAGACCAGGGCTCCAGGTTTTGACCCATCCCAATTCCCAATCTTTGAAGGGTCCAAACGCCTTTACTCTTGATCTGAATCTTCTTTTTCCCTCCAAGGTGGGCTTGCACTTGTTGCGAAGGCATTGGAGCTCTGTGGCAAAAGGGAGTGCCATCAGAATGCCAGCAGTCGACGGTGCCAGCAGACCTGTTTGGTTTCTGGGAATGCAACCAACCTGTTTGCAGTAGCCGTTTGCACAAAGATGTCACCAACTCTAAGACGATTCTGAGTTGAAACTGTTCCCTTTGAACAAGCGAAGGGCGGTGACTTGGTGCCCCCACTGGAGAATGTCATTTGCATACATTCTGTATCAGTCTGTGGTTTTTCACGAAACAGCCGAGCCATGTTGCGGCCAAAATGCCAACCATCCTAGTGCAACCCATTGCCTCCAGCACTGTGGAAGTGGACTTGTCAGAAGATGCAACAGTGGCAGATTTGAAGAGTGCTTTAGCCCAAAAGACCGGAATTGACATTGAAGAACAAAGGCTTGTGACGCGTGGCAAGTTGCTGGAGGATTCCACTCTCATCCATTTGGTGGATGGCAGAATATTCCTCGCGCGTGGAAGCTTGTCCAAGAAGGAGTCAGAGGAGTTGGATGAGGATGATGAGGGCGATGGTGATGAGATCGAGCTTACTGTCAAGATGGTTGGTGCAACAGGGACTTGGCAATTGCGACTTCAAGCAGACAGCTCCACCACAGACTTCAAAAATCAGGCCATGTGAGGGTGATGAATCTGGGGCCCAACGGGAGAGTCCATCCGATGTTGGAAGCTTTGACCATCCGATGACCCAAGATGGCAAACGGATTTGATCTGCATTCTGTGCATTGTGTGACAGCATTCTGTAGAGTAAGGATCAGATATTCCAAGTTTGAGGCTGGGTCTATGACAAGTGATATCATTTACCCTCCCTGGAATGAACATGGAAGTGGAAGCCACCTGGTTGTAGAGGAACAGGGTCTTCCAAGGGGCCATTTCCACTTCCATGTTAGTTCCAGGGAGTGTATAACCATCTCTGGATGATTCCGGATCAAATTGAGTTAGTCATGCAGGTCTTGCTCCAATTGAACCTACCGACCGCAGAGCTTGGCCAGCGGCTTAGATCATTCGAGAACCGCACGGTGCCCATGTGTGCCCCGCAACGGCCGAACGGGTATGGGTCAAAACCTGAGCCCCAAGCCCAAAACCGTATCCCTGGTAGTCCATTCTGATCATTTGGTGGTCAACCACGGTCTCCAGGGTTTGCCTTTGTTGTCTCCATAAGCCAAATTTCAACACAAAGCTTGAGGGCATATTGCTTTGCAATGTCACGTGATGCAAACTACGCGTGGTAAAGCATGTGTATGCATGCAAGTAACTGATAGCTTAAAGATGCTTAAAGATAGTCTTAACATGTCTTAAAGATTTCCTCGGGTATTGTGACATCTGAAGCTTTTTTTGAGGCAAAGTAGCAGCTGCCCGTTCTGCAGACAGAATGGAGATAACATATATATATATATATAATCCCGAGTACCTATTAAAAGCCTCCCCAATTAAACAAACACAACGTCCGAAGCCCTAAATTCGGTTTATATTTGTTGTTTAAATTACCGCCCTTTCAAACCGCTACTAAACTACCAACATGGTCGATTTTTGGGGTAGTTTTTTTTTGTAATTAGGTTCCCCAAACTCCCTCAAAATAGGTTCCAATACACCCTCAAATCGACCATGTTGCATTGCTGACTCTCCGCTGGCTCTCCTAGTAGCGATGCCAGGAGCCCCTAGTAGCGTCCTTGCTCCTAGTAGCGATGCCAGGTCCCTTCAAGGTCCACCAAGTGCTGCACTTGCTGCGAAATCTGCACTTCCAGGTCAACAAAGTACTGCGCCTGCCACGAAATCTGCACTTCAAGGTCCACAAAGTTCCGCAATCCTTCCACTGACCCTATTTGGCCCCCCGATTTCAGGGACCCCCTATTAAGAAAAATGCGACCGAGTTTCTCTTAATAGGGGGGGCCGGCGTGTTTTTTAAGAGGTGGACAGGATTATATGATAAGATTTGTGCCAAAGTCAGAAAAACCTGCTCACCCCCCCCAATTGCTTGGCGTCCTTCTTTTCGCAGGTCCGCGAAGTCAGCAAAGACACAAACGGCCGCCTCACTCGCCCAGCCCGGTGAGTCGTGAGGTCGCTATCACTTCGTGACCAATGGTCAGCTCATGGGAGACGTGACGATCCCCAGAGGGTTCAGACGACGGTTGGGCGCGCGGTTGGGAACGCACCGCGGGAAGGAACGAGCGGTTGGGCGGCGGAGGGAAGCGAAAAAAGAACGGCCCATAACGGCCGTGCCCAGCTCAAGTCTTCCAGTGGACATGAGCAGTGAGGTGACCCTATGTGGTAAATCGCTGTTTAAAGATGAAGTAAGTCAGAAGATGTCAGAAGCATTTACAGTATGTTCTCACAAACGTTTGTTTGTTTGCTGCAGAGCTGCGGGTCGGAGCTGCGGGTCTGGGACCTTCCGGGTTGGTGAGAGATTCTTTGAGATGTGAGAAACCAGGGCTCCGTGGTCCCTGGGGTGACTAGAGGGTTGAGACTTGTTGGATTCCCTGGATGGTGGGGACTGATGGCTCAAGGCTTTCTCGGCTTTCTTAGTGACCATGGACTGAGATGGACCGCATAGGTTCTAGCAACTACTATAGTTACTACTGTGGAAAGTACGGTCCAAGGTGGACATGTGCATGGTAAAGGACAACAGTTTAGAAGTATGTCCATAAGCTTGCTGGAAAGGTGTTGGCAGTGGAGCAACACCATGACATGCTGGAGTATGCAAATCATTGCAGCTTCTTACAAACACTTGTCAGCATTACCTCCAAACCATTGATTGACAATTTGAACCCAAACTGAGCCTTTTCAAATCCTTTGAAGTCTTGAAGCACGTGATCTCAACTGATATACTGGAAGGACGAGGTCACTTTGATTTGCCTGGTGCCTTGTGCATGTCGCCGCCATGGTCAAAGTATGGAATTCCGATCTTGCCCAGGCAGCTGAAGTTCGTATGTGCTATCACATGTCCAAAGGCAGCTCGCGAGAGTTTATGTGGCGAAAAGCCCATCGAGCGTTTCTTGTCAACATGTGTTACAGATTGTTTTGAAGGACTTCAATTTTGTGACAAATTGATTCAGCAAACCCAATTCCAGGATTCCATGGAAACATTGAAACATCTATATACATAAATAGTATGACAAATCTTGTAGAGTGGGCTCACTTTTCTATCTATCTACAGTAATTACTATTATATATATATATAAGTATAACAGAAAGGAGCGCTCTGAGCGGCGCGTTTTTGCATTGTTTCATTTTCTTTGTATTTTGTTTCTATATATATTTGTATTGTGTTTCTATTGATTTTTGCGCCACTGAAAGAATCCTATTCTGCTTCAACCCCCCCCTCCCCCCAAGGCAATTTCCAAAATTCCAATTTTCCAAAATTCCAATTTTCCAAAATTCCAAATTTCAAAAAAAAAACAAAAAAAACAAAAAAAACAATTCTGCACAGACCATGGGGGGAAGAGGGGGTGAGGCAAAGTCCTGGCACAATTGTTTTTTTTGTTTTTTTTGTTTTTTTTGGAAAATTGGAATTTTGGAAAATTGGAATTTTGGATTTTTGTGATGTCCTGGAATATTTTTAGCTGTTTCAATTCGTTGGAAGTGACATTTTTCAAGCCTTGCACTGCGACGCAAACACATGCAGGTGAATGAGTTTTTGAAACTGCATGACTTGCTGACAGGTGCAAGATACATTTTTTTGTGCTCACGCAGGCTCAACAGAGATGATCTCTTTACACTACTTTTTGGATGCCGGCCTTTTCCGGCATTCCGTAGTTGAGCGTCGAGTCTGGTAGGTCGGCATTTCTTTCAAGTTGTTGTTCCAAAACTTGATGGCCTCCTCCACCCAGAAGCGATGGCTGGTCGCATTCATGGAGTTGAGGGCAAAGTTCTTTCTGCGAATCCATGCGTTGAAAACCTCAGACATGTTGGTTCGCACCTTGCGGAGTCGAGACTTTTCCGTCTTGGTAAGGTTCCTTTTGGCACACTTGTGATTGCACCGATGGAATTCATCAATGGCATAGTGCTTGATTTGCTTGAAGGCTTTCTTGAGGCTGCTATCGGATTTTACTCGTTGCTCAAAATGACATGCATCATCATGGATCAGAAGGTCTGGGTTCACCTTGGGCAGTTGCATTGCGGTTCTCACCACCTCTGCCTTGTCTGCATTGGACTCATTGATAATGTGCTCTTTCGCAGCTACAACAAGGCGAGAGTCAGGATCAATCACAAATTGCCATCCGGCAGTTCGATTTTTCAAAAAGATCCTTTGGCGCTCTTTGTCCACACAGCTACACGTGCGCTCCTCCTTTTGATATCTCTTTCCCTTTTTCGGTGGCCGACCCCGTAGAGCTACTGTGCGAGGAGCCTCCAGATCCTTATCGAGAGCCCTGTGCACTCCGAAGTGGCCATCAAAGCAGAGCGCTTCCACCACCACAGGAGGAGGAAACAATAGGGGTTCCTGCGAGAGCCTCATACTTTCTGAGGGGCGGTCAATTGGAAAGGATAGGACTGCTTCCGGGCTTCGTTGTAGTAGGGCGAAAGCTTCCAAAGCTCTCATGAGGTGAGATTGCAACCTCTTTGTGTGAAGCAAATTTTCCTCAGATAGCATCTTTCTTACGCTGGCTTCTTGCCCAGGAGCCAGGTTGCCCCGGAGGAATCTACACCAAGACTGCTTGAGGTAATTCACGGTGAACCCAAACTGGCTTGACACCATGTAGATGCCGGAGTTTTGAAGCTCAGAGAAGTTGACGACGTTCACCTTGGCGCCGTCATGGTATGCAAAATTGCCTCGGTGAGTGGTCCGACAATCCCGGGTGTGACACACCTTGCGGTAGATGAGCTGTTTGAAGAAGGTTGCCTTGATTTTTCCCGGAAAGGCCAAATGCTTCAAGATAGTGATTTCACCCTCGGAGTTTTTGATGATGACGATTTGGATGGTCGTTTCCTTGGGGACTTCAACCTTCAGACCAAAAGGGGCGGGAAGATACTGCAAATCCTTGCGTTCGCATGCCAGTTTGTAGCTAGTGCTGAGGTCAGAAAAGTTGATGTCGCCCTGAAAGTTCTGGATGAGGTCAAAGGCATGGACCAGGTTTGTTTCCCCTCCGTTCAGTTCCTTCATAGGGAAGGTGAGGATGTTGAAGGAGCCGCATGGCTGGAGAGGGAGCGACATGGGAGCGATGCTCCTGCAAATGAGGCCATTGACAACCTCATGCAAATCATCATACGTCATATCTTCAGACTGCATGGCGGAGTTTACTACAGCAGACGAATGCTACCAATGGCGTTTCCTGAATCCTTGATGGATGACAAATGCTAACAGACAGATCCTTCCAGGCAATGTCAGACACATCAAAGAAAAGGCATGAAAAAAGTTATAAAAATGCTCATTTTCATCGAAAAACGCGCCGCTCACAGCGCTCCCCTCTCAAGTATAAGATCATTTGCGAGTACTCTACCAGAGTCTACGGTTCAGTGTAGTTCACCATCACGGAACGAACTCACCGCTGGACGCATCTTGTGAGGATTCTGGCGGTGGAAAAGGAGATTCGACAGCTCTCCTCGGGGCGAATCGTGAATCTGCCAAGAATCAAAGAAATCACTGCAATCCAGGAGCTCGAAGCTGTTATTCGAGGAGCCACTTGGAAGACAAGAATGTGAGATGGCATTCCAGGCAAGCTCATGAGCAAACTTTGCGACACTCCAAAACTCTTGGCTCAAATTCCCACGACTATTTCCTGGCAAACTCCTACATAAACCAGCCCGTGGAACTTGAGCCAAGAGTCTTGGTGGGGGTAGATCTTAGTGTATAGCAAAAGTAGATCAGCCCAGCGTTTGAGCAATCTCTTTTGCGCAGACTATCAAGTGGAGACTGAGGAGAGACCAATTGTGCCTCCAGAAATGAAGCAAGCGGCTGATGACCCACCTGAGAGGGACTTTGCTCGACATCCCTATCTGAAACGCATGCAATTCAGAGGCGGTGGATATGCCATTTTGATGGCTTTGCATTTGAGGTCCAAAGAACACATGGAAACAGCCCGCACAGCAGCCGCTGCAGTCCGACAGTTCATGTACAAGGTGGAGCTGATCCATGCAGCTCAGCCCTTCTGCGATGTGAGCATGGAAGGAGGGTGGGGAAGCTCTTGTGGTTGGACTTCCATACGCTCCTTATTGGCTCATCGCTTGGTGCTGGAATCTCGGGGTCCTACACATCGGGAGGAGTACCGGCTCACTGAAGAGGGGCAAGACTTTGTCCAGGCGATGCTGAAGCTGTGGCCTGAAGCTGAAGGACGAAAGGGAAGCGAGTCTAATTCCAAACTCCTGACTCTGGAAGCCAATAAACTAACTCTGGCATTAATATGATCACTTGTAAGCAATATCTACCAGTCCTATCATGTCTTAAATTCTGATTTCTCATCCCAATGTCTCATCCCAATCAGGACCTGCTCCACCGGCCTCCAACCAACCAGCAGCTTCCGTCGACCCGGACCGATCGCGCACACCTCGACCTCGGTGGCTGGCGCGGACGTTCCACGCGACGCGGGTGACGGCGGCAGCCACACCCTTTTCAGCCTTGAAGGTGTTGAGACCAGTGAGTGGTCCAGTGAGTGAGGTGAGTCCAGAGGCGTTGAGACCGATGTGTGGTCCAGAGCCAGAGGAGTCTTCGTGCGTGAAGATTGAGATTTCCGACAGCGAGGAGACCGAAGAACCGAGAGCGACCGATGCAGTGTCTCAAGGATCTCAATCGACCGATGCGGTGCTTCGAAAGCCTGCGGCCCATGCGGCTTTGCTTCTGGTCGACGACCGAGAGCGCCTCAAGGATGCCGAGCCTCGTCGCTTCTTTGAGACGATTGCGGCGGCGACGTCCGCAGCTCGAGAACACCTGAAGCTGGGGGACTTTGCTTGGGTGCTCGGCAGATCTGAGGTGCTCGGCGGATCTGACTACCTGGACTCTGAGTTGGTCGACTGCCTGCTGGAGCGAAAGCGCATTGCAGATTTGGTGGGCCGGTCTGCTGTGGGAGATCATATGAAGCAACTTCACAGAATGGAAGACTGTGGCTTGAAACATGCCTTCTTTCTGCTTGAAGGCAACCCAAATATGGCTAGTAGCTGTCCGGTGTTCGACCAGGATCTTCACACAGAATCTGTCTACACCATCCATGGTCGGGAGGAGATAGATGCCTTTTGCGCACAGCTGATCATTCGCAACTCCAAGGCTGGAGGGAGATCGATCTTCATCGATGTTCCTTTTGATCTTTTGCAAAAGGGGATCCAGGGGTCGCAATGCGAGGTCTCCCTAGTTATACGCCCATTTTAGCCTGTTGTGCTTGACTTGAGAGCAAGGCGCATCCTGGTCACAGGGTGCTCGCCACTTTCTTCGAGGTCTTCTGATCAAACAGTGGTTCCTGAGGGTTCTTATACACTCTGCCGCCCATCAAAACTCTTCGTTTCACAAGCGTGTGAATCGAAATCGATACTGTATCAGAATCATTCGGAATCCCTGTGTGAATCTACTGAGTTCGACCGACCAGACCTTTCTTCAGGTTGGAGTCTTGCAAAGCAGAGATCCAGCAGGGACAGCTCGTTTATTGAAGTACATCTCTGCCTGGATGACTTGGAAGCTGTGCCTTGGCGTTCTGCATTCTGTGACGGGCCGTGCCTTGCATCGATTCGTGTCATGACCGTCCCGTTATGTTGTTCCGGCACTGCATTAAGATTATCCTCAGAATATCCAACGTCTTGTAATATCCTGCGAACATTGGCTCAAAAGCATCTTCATGCTGTTGAGCAAATTAAATGACTCTTGCCGGAAAATGGCCAACGTTGCATCATCTTTACTTGTTGTCTATTCTGAGCTGAAGAACTTATTGCCAGTCTTATTGCCCCATTAATACAATATAATACAATAACAAAAATTCATAATAGATTATGGTTAATAGCATATCATAGCATCTCAGCTTATTTCGTCTCATCATCTAACTCTCATGTTGGCTTGTACCTTGGCATTGTTTACCACTGTTTACCTCAGTTTGCTTGGTCTATCTTGGTTTGATACCCTTTTTTAGTGGACTCGCATAAGATTTTGCTGCAATCGTGCTCGCGCAATCTCAGGCAGACTCAAGCCTTCTCGCATGACTTGCGGACTGGACACTCACTGCGAGAGTTTGAGAAGTTTGTTGCCCAACAGATGAAGGACAAGTTTGGGCCTTGTCAAAGCGCACATCAAAGTCATTCAGTCATTCACCTGTGGCAAACCATGCGCTGAATGATTTAAGTAGGACAAAGGGTTCAGTTGCCAACAGCTTGGAATATGTTGTTCTTCCACAGCATCATACAGCATCCCAGAATCCCAGGCTCAAATGTAACACATTGTAGCACTTCAATGTACATTCAGATGGTTTCCAGAACCAGATTTCCTTCATCCAGCGCACTCAAATTCATGAATGTTTGGGGGCTCTTGTGAGAGTTCGCTCGAGTACTGAGTCATGTCAAGTGAAGGATGAGGGACGCCTAGCACTGTTGGGTGGATCTTCTTCATCCTCCGTTCCGGGAAGAATGGCTGAACTGCATGTGAGTCGAGGTCTTTTTGTACGAGTCGGTCGGCCGGCCAACACGGAGAAGGTCTCCTGGCTTGTCAGTGACAATGGCAACAGGGGCATCGAACACCTTGCTGCTGAGCTTTCAGTACATGAAAATGGTCATCGATCTCAACCAATCCTGACCGTCATCATCAATGCAGGCAAGGCAGCCTCGCATAGCCGGCATAGCCTTGCACTTCTGTGTTGTTTTCCCTTTGGGCAACTTCATGGGCTTGGTCTACATGTTTGAAGGGTCCGCCTTTCACAAACCTTCTTGATGGCCCCCCCAAAAAACCTCCAAGTTATGCGAGGCCTTCTGTTGCAAGAGATCAACGCTGCAGCTCAAAGAGCTGCATCACAAGCAGCGCTGATCTCCGTGGCCGAAGCCGCGGCGGCTTCTTTGGCGTCGCAACTGCCCGGCTCACCGTCGCAGCGACCCTCCAGGCAGCTGCGACGGGAGTGGTGACACCGATCAACCCCACCGAGATGCGAACGATGACACCGATGTCCTTTGTAGGATTGGTCGTTGTGGTCATGGATGGTCATGTCATTTTGTGTTTTGATATTTTTTGATGCCTTGGCTTGACGAGTCACACAGACATGATTCTCGGATCCTCTCCAGTTTGCCACGAAACGGCGGCACTCATTGTGGGATGGTTTGGAGTGTCAGTTGGCCATCGAAACCAACTGCAGAGCAAAGTGGTTCCATAACTTCATGCGCGGAACCAGGCGGCTGCTCATTGTCGAGGGCCTTCACAAGAGTGTGCAGGCCATGGTGTGTTGATGTGTTTTGTGATGTTTTGTGTGTCAAAGCCTCACCCATCAATCCACCAAACCCTGGTGGGTTGACATCCCTTTGAGAGGAATCGGTTCATGTTCGGTGGGAAAGACCAGGGTCTCCCAGGGTCAAGACAACCACATTAATTTTGGCCAAGCTGCAGCCTGATGGCTCATTCTACCACACATTCATGTTGTACTAGATATTCATATATACGTCTATAGGCACTAGGCACTAGGCTTTCCTTCATGGAAGAGTTTGGAATTTTCCTCGAAATACGGAACATGATGGGAATCCCGATGCTTTTGACAGATCTTGGTCAGGTGCCTTTCAGCAACACCCACAGTCAAAGGGTCCGCATGGGTCTTTTCATCCATCGGAGGCATCAGCTCGAGCCCCAGCGAGTCTACCACTTGACGAGTTGCTTCCCTGCGCAGAACTCGTGGTTTTTCTCATGGACCTCAAATTCTCCTGGCGCAGCTTGGCTGTATGAAGTCCGTCGTGGCGCAGAGGACTGGAATCAACGCTGGTTGCATACTGTAGGGGATTGGCAGCGCAGAGTTGCATAGAAGCTGGCATGTCGTTTACTCTGGCATTGCCACTGGGATAGATAGACAGTATATGATTATATTTGTAGATAAGAGTGCTTAGAAACGACCAACAACAAGTTATCCGGCAATTCATTCGTTCTTCTCGTTCTCGCTGTCCGAGCTTTGGCAGGTTGCAGAGTGCATGATATACAGCCGGCTGAGACAACCAAAAGTTTCTTGCAGGTCTTGCTTCGTCTTGCTTTGGAGTTGGAGGTTGTAAATGCACCTCAAGTTCCACAACCAACTTGAGCGGTGCTGCCAAGACTTGTGTGTTTCTTGACATACGGGGAGCAGATCATTGATTCTGGCAGCAGCACAGTGTCATTTTTGTTGCTTAGTGGGTCTTCCCCCTTGTTGGCTGCTGGCCTCATTAAAATACATGATTATAGAAGGCCCTGCGGCCATTCTATCAAAGATGATTGTAGATAAACAGAGACTACTGTTGCTCCGAGTACAACAATCACATACAATTACATTTAAAGGCTGGTCCGATTTGGCCACTCCAATTTGGAGAGCCTGAAGAGCAGTCTTTGGTTGAAAGCAGAATTAAGACCAGTGGATTGGCAACATTTAACATGGGTCCTTCACACCTTTGGATGTTGTCTCTTCAGAGCTAGCAGCGCCTAGCAGAGTCAGAGTGCACGGCCTTGCAGCTCAAGGATCAAAGGATTCTTCAAAGATGCTGTGGCAGGGTGCTGTTCGCAAGGTTAATGTACATAGATCAGGTGGATGTAAGTGTTCGGAACCGCTGCTGTTTGGAAGGTGCCACTGCCCGAAATTTGTTCAGCACGTCTCTGAAGCAGAAGGAGAGATTCGCAATTCGGGCCAGTAGCTCCCATCATTCAGCAGCATTAGCACATTCGATGTGCTAAGGCGAGGCTTACTGTATCCGAAGTGCTCCACTCTATTCCACTCTACTCTTCTTTTGCTCAACTCAGAAAGGTAATGAAAGGTAGAGTTCCAGAAGTCTGTTCATTGAAGCGTATTAGTATCAATCAATTGAAGTGTCATGGCCATAACTTCAATTAAGTAGTTAGCCATGGGGCCATGAGAAACTTCATAGAGTGCCATGAGCAACTTACTTATTGAACTTGAAGTTTCTCATGGCTACATGTTATTGTGTCGTGTTGCTTGGTGTTTGCGCTTCGACTGGAGCCATTACAAGTGACGAAAACCAAGCCTGTCAAAGCGGTTCTGATGGGCGGTGCTCCAAGGAACCATAGTAAGTAGCAGACACTCGGCGAAAGGGTTAGCAACAGAGGTTGGAGTCGAAGTGGGTCAGTGAAAGCAGGACATGCAGCCGTGAAAGCGTTGCGAAGGGATGGGCGACAGGTTGTTATAATCTTATATATATATATATATATAATAAAAGTTCCGGATGGTTTTTGACACCGCTCAAATGTTTACTAATGTTTGCCTTCTAGCAGCGCGGTAAGCTTCTCCAATCCGCCAATGCCAAGCTAGTTGACCTCAGTGCAAAAAAAGGGGGGCGGGAAGGCGCGGCAAGTGGGCAGGTGCGCGGGTACTGGGGAAATTCCCTAAGGCCCCAAGGATACTGCATGAGATTGGTAGGGTATACGCTAGAAACCAACGCCAGAAATCGATCATGAAGTTGAGGGATGTTCATGAAATGTCACCTTCACTTTTCAAGTCACGAGAGTAAGCTCCATGCGCCAGCATGTTGTTCTTTGGTTTGCTACGGTGGTTAAGCAGCCTGGATTACCTGGGTAAACCTGCATTTAGACTTCTTGGTATTCTTTCAGCGGCACAAACAAGCTAACAGTCGAGAGATCATGGCGGACAGTGATGAGGCAGGCCTTGACTGAACTTGTGCTGAGGTCGGCAAGCTGAGTGGATTGCTGAAAGATGGTGACAACGTGGTGGTGGTGCCTCCCAGGGTCGGGATGCTCAGGACAGGAATTATGCAGCTACTTGCTTGCCTGGCAAACTCCCAGGCAGGATCCGAGGTGCGAAGAACGCGTCTCGACTAAGTAGCTGCCGAGCAGTTGGATGTTGGGTGTTCCGCAGCACACCTTCCGCACACCACACCTGCAACACCTCGATTCGTCGATGTGAACTGGTTTTTGGACCAAGCAGACCGCTTAGGAAGGTCGCCACAGGTCCAGCGAGTAGCAATGTCTACGTCTTTGGCGGATGGCCGGACACTTTGTGTGTTTGATGATGATGCCGCTATGTCTAAGCAACTCGTGGCCGAAGTAACTGCAGCTGCCAATGAAGCGATAAGCAAGAAGGAAGTTTCCTCCAACCTGTTGAAACAATTTTTTTTACTGTACGTCCTGTTCTTCCACAGCTGATGTTGCTTTTTTTGCCTGAGCCCTGGCGGCCTTGGTGCAGCAAGTTTCGACCTCCTTCCATGCGAGCCGCCGAGGCTTTAGTCTTTGCATTCCTGCAGGCAGTGTGGTCTCTGCTCTGTCGGCGTTATCACCCAGTGCGGTCGACTGGAGCAAGGTTCATGTCTTCTTCACAGGAGAGCGGCTAGGAGTGAACAAGTCCTACACGGCCGCGCTGGATGCCTTCTGCCGCAATTGCAAGATCCAAAACGTCTTCTATCCCATCATGAGGTGTCTTGGAGAACAGGATTCCTTTCAGAGTCATCTCATAAAGAATCCTTAATGTTTCCACAGATCTTTTGTTCGTTTGGAGTTTGGATATGTGGGTCCCATCCTGGCAAAACACACGAACTATGTGTCAGGTATTACAGTAATTTAAAGAAGCCAAGATCAGGCACAGCATAGACATTTTGATTAGGGTTGATGGTCCCTTGATTCATGTCCATTGGTTCAATCTTCATAGCTGGGCGCAGCATGGCACAAGACACATGTTTTGGTCTAGATTCTTATACCAAATACCAAACCCATCTCCATCCCGCCACAACCTTCCCTGTTTGGCCCAATCCGCTTGTTCCCACCAGAGTCCATTGTATCCACCCGTCTCGAGTCTCGAGGCCTTTGTTCAGCGTCGAGAAGGGCCTGCCGGAGTTTGCCGTGAAGGAGGCAGCGGCGGCATATACGTGTTTGTTGAAGAACCATCCAGCCATTGACAACGCAGGGCCTATGCCATCCTTTGACTCTTGGATAATTATATATAATTTGATTGGATTTGGCTGATTGTGGTTTTGGTGACATTTGGTGACTAGCCTGTTCTTGCATGGGAACAACGGTACGTCCAAGGGCTTGCTGATCTATTGCACATAGCTTCTTCTAAGATAGAACACCATGATCACATTATATTCATATCATATTACATGTATGATAGATCTGGGCTGTGGCATGGACAGATTCGCAAGTCGCGCTTTATGACATTACATGTATGTGGCTGAGATATTGATATTATGTGGCTACGATAGAACACCATGATAACATTATATGATTTTACATGTATATATATATATATATGATAGATATTGAACCGTCGCAAATATATTGTGTCCCAATAGATGTCCAATTGGACCGATGATGGGACGAAACCAAATCGGATGGATATAGACCGGTGGGTGGTCCGTTCGGAGCGGTGTGGTGGGTGGTTGGAAGAAGCGGTCCATGGACTCTGGTCGAAGACTCACCCGTTTCCGCACCAAAACGAAGCATCCATGGAAGACGACGACGCCACTTGGAAGCCCGCGCCATTTACCGCCATTTGGTTGCTTCTTTTTCATGTTTGAGGACTGTGCACCGGCAGCCGCCTTTTCACCTGCAGCTCACAGCGCCTTTGTTTGTTCGTTTCGTCTGGTTCTCTTGTTGTGTCGTTGCAGCCGGTCTTTTCCACCTGAACTCTTTTCGGCCGATCCTTGGGTTTACGATGATTCTGCTTTGGATTTCTTTGCTCAGTGAAGTGACCCTTGATCCAACTGTTAGCATCGAAGCATTGTTAGCATCGAAGGTCGAAGGTGACTTGAAAGGGCTAGCAACGTTGCTCTTGTTTCTTGTGGTAAATCTGTGTGTCGCGCTTCTCCGCATTGCTCGTGTGGTGTGTTTGCCGCTGTTTGCCCAGCCTCCATCAAGAGTCTTGTATTGTTTTTTTTGTATTATGTTGTATGTGCCCACACCCTGTCACACCATGTTCTCAATGTGTGGACTCTGTGCGTCTTGAATAGAGTTTCCTTATGTTTCCTTCGTAGAGGCCAACCAATAAACTTCAGTTTGCTAAAGATACCTGCCGGGCAAACAGGCAGGTTTCAGACAACGTGCCCGCTCGCGAGACCCGTGGCGCTCATTTTTCGGATTGGTGGATGGAGGTTGGATGCTTTGTTTAGCTGAAAACAGATGCACGTCGCTTCCGCCGGCCCCCTCCTCAAAATGAACCTTTTCTTCCCAGAGACCCACATAATACCCACATATTTTTGGTGGCCCACATACGAAGCCAAAGCGACAGGTGGTACCTCCCACAAAAGCACCAACGTCTCTGCATTTGGACCAAATCATGGCACTCTTCAAATTGTACGTAAATGTACGTAATATCGCAGGGGTTTCCATGCGGGGCCGTGGACAAGCCTTGGTTGTTCTACCTCTTCCATCCTCTTCCCGCTTTCTCTTTCCCGGACGCCGCCGGAACCGCTGGAACCGGTGGAAGACCCTCCAGTCTACCGTCCGTTGAGCGTTGAGGATCTCTTGCTGCTGGGCGTTGGAGATGATGGACATTGCGGTTCTTTGCACCCCAAGAGCGATCATATTAAGGCCACAGGGGATGGCACGGTGACCTTTGGAATCCACAAAGCTGGAAAAAAACCAGAGCCTTGGCCGGCAGAACCGCTCATTTTTTGTTGGAATGTTAATCGTTGCACGACGGTCATCGCTGTGAATGACTTTGGGCATCCAAAAGGGGCTCCTTTGGACCAGATCGTAGCTATCCTCACTTACGTTTGGGGGCATTTGGATGCCCTCAAAGCCCAACCTCACGCTTTTCGCGCGAAAGGCTAAGCGGCTTGTGATCTGAGATGATCTGAGGATTGCCATCTCGATGGATGTGATGTGTGCGTCCAAGAAGGTCATTCTCGCATGCCGCTTGCCACGAACGGTGGCGAACGAGACTGGTCGGAGAGACGAAAGACGTCGACTTGAGACATCAACCCAAAAACGGCCTGGTTACTTGATGGAACAACATGGAACGCATTCAATGGGATATGATGTGTGATCGCTACAGGTGAAGTACTGATATCACAAGATCATGTGCAGGCTCCGAGCAGTTCTGCAGAAGTCGTTGTGGATCTGCCGTTTCACCGAGCTTCGCACGGTGGACACACCTCCCATCAGCCACAGGCACCGGCGAGAAGAAGAAGGATGCAGTTCGCCGAGCCCTCTCAGGTCAGCCGTGGATCGATGTGTTCGGCCTTGGCCGCGCTAGGGTCAGATGGTTTGGCAGACATTCGAACCATACCCACAGAACTACATATTAAGCCATACCCCACCCTACAAGTTCAGTCTGACCCAGGTCCAAACCTGGTCTTTAACCTCCTTGAGTTGTTGTGTTTTTTGTGGTGACTAACATTAGGTCCCAGTCCTGACTGAACTCCATGTCATGTTGGACCGACGGTGTCATGTTGGATGAGACCAACAGTGGAACCTCCGGAGCAAACGGTATGTGGAAGGGCCGCCTGGCCGCCCGGAGAAACGACATGCCGTACTGTACTAAGTACTACTTGTAGTACTATACCTCAAGAATCCTCAAGACATGTTTTGCACGATTTTGCACTTTACGACTTGTTGGTCATAGGCGCGGGAAGAGTGGGGGAGTGACAGTGAGGTGCCAGAAACGCATCGCATTATGTCCATGGGCTTGACTCAGGCATGCTTTGATCCTCGAAGAATTCTGGTTATAGTTCGGACCGTTCGTTTCGTCTTCTGCAACCTGTTCACCGGATTTCTGGATGTGTGCAGCAGTGCAGCGTTGCCAGGTGATTTTGAAGCTCATGACTGTCCTGCTGCTCTTGTAAAAGCAGCTTCAACTACTTGGTATGTAGATAAGGCCTCGCTGGCTGATTTCACTCCAAAGTGAGAGACGAAGTGTACCGAAAAAACGCCATCATCCCAAAGGAACCATAGCATGAACAGATGGTAAACAGGATTGCTGCAAGAACACTGTTCATTTGTCATCATTTGTCGTTTGGTGACTTCTGGTGGTGACAAGGAGATGTTGAGCTGCCAGACGTGCAGCAAATTTAGGAAATTGTAAGCATGTGATGCTGTGCATGACCCACTGATTTTGTGGCATGCGCGGCGGCATCCTGCTTCAGGCTGCAAGTCGCGGGTTGAGTGGTCACCATTAATATGTAGCATTATTATTAGTATGCAGTATACAGTGTATATATATATATACAATGATTTTTCGACGTCGTTGGTAGGTCGGAGTTATGCAGATTGAAGGGGAGAGGTATATTTGTAAACACAATTCATGCGCTTTCAACCCAAAACTGACATTGTTTGGAGTTTGAAGATACGTGATATCTGAATAGATTTGACGAACAGTGACGTAAGACTCTTGGTGTTTTTTTTGGGGGGTTGTTCATGTTGGGCAAATATGGCTGTGACATGCTGGGACAATATGGTGAAGCAAAAAAAGAGGTTCGCTCTCCTCTTTCGTTTCATGCCCTCCAATATTGTGTTTCTCGTAACGCAACCTAGACATCATGTTCGACTGTTCGAAGAGACCGTATGTACTGTAGGCAAGACAGTACATGCAGCCGGAACTCCAAAGTTACAAAGAATGCCCCCAAGCCTACACTTAGAACATGATTGGCTAAATTATGCTAAATTCATATTCCACGTGACGGTCAAACAAACGGGTCATGTAAAGCCTAAGAAACTGCGGAACTGGAGCAGTAAGGCGCTTCTGTGCGCTGTCGTGTGCAGCTGAGTAGTCTGTCGCAATCTAAAAGTGGCGAGCCTCGCCTGACGAACCTCGACTGGCCCAATTCTAATGTCAAGGCGAGCAGAGGAAAAGGGGGTGGGGCTTACGGCCCTGAATTGTTGAGGGGTGACTGCATGAGAAGCATGGCGTAACATGTGTTTTGTGAGAGTTGCTTTTGAAGTTGTGTTCTCTGTGCAACGTTTGGAATAGCAAATCAACGTTTGCTCATAGTGTGGGGAGCTTGGGGGCATGATTCTATTCTGTTCTAAGGTCTATGTGTAGTTTCAGTTTCATGGTATAGCAAGATTGATATTCTGAGTAAACAGAAGCTGATAAACAAGAATATCATTGATATTCACAAGCTGGAATATTCTTTGTTTTTGTGTCTTTCCGAGTATTTCATCAGTTTCCATAAAGAAGCTCTCACAAAGACTCATTGCCCAGGTGCCGGCTCATCTTCGACGAATCAAGGCAATCTACCACTGGATGGCTTGGCTTCTTCGCCGCCGGGCGCTCCCAGACAGGGGTGGTTCCAGGTGAAGGATGTTTCAATCAAACTATGACAGGGTGTAACCCATTGCCAGCAACAGTTGGTAAAGGATGATCACAGTGATGGAGGCCCTGTCCGGAACGAGTTCAGCAGGGATGGGATGAGTTCAGCAGGCTTGGCTCTCGGTTTGGGCAGGTCTTGGAGCCGTGCTTTTCATGTTCTGTCGCTTTGCCTGGATCCTGCCTGGCACAGTGCTCCGATACACCCTCGATGCCTGGTGCGCCGGGCGACACGCGCAAGGCGTTCAAAAAAATATTGCGGACACGCCAATGGAAGCTGTTGAGTGGATCCAAGTCCAATGTCCTCTTCCAGCATCGATGAATCAGGTATGACCCACCGTTTCTTAAAAAAAAGTAAGGGGACCAATGTATTGTTTGCGTTTGGGGCCCACGGCTGCGGCTACACCCCAATACAAGAAATTGATGACCACTGTCAGTTGATCATCAAGAATCATCAAGGCGTCTCCCAATTTCTCAATGACCCTTAGAGTTTAGTGATAATCCACTGTCTCCTCAGTGATCTATTTGGACATGCAGAATTAGAACTCCGGAGGAGACCCTCCAACCAACGCTTTTTGTGCAAAAAGGGGTAAAACGCGTAGAACGCGATGCCGGAGACCACCCTGCGTGACTTGGACTGTTGTGGCCTTTTGGCTTCTTGCAGAAGTACTAGTAGTGGTCGTTTGGTGCTGCATGGTAGTAGTTGGTACTTGTAGTAGTAGTAGTAGTAGTAGTAGTAGTAGTAGTAGGTAGTAGGTAGTAGGTAGTAGGTAGTAGGTAGTAGGTAGTAGGTAGTAGGTAGTAGGGAGTAGTGAGTAGTGAGTAGTAAGTAGCTAGTAAGTAGTAAGTAGTAAGTAGCAAGTTTTAAGTAGCAAGTAGCAAGTAGTAAGTAGGAAGTAGCAAGTAGTAAGTAGGAAGTAGCAAGTAGTAAGTAGTAAGTAGCAAGTAGTAAGTAGTAAGTA